TTATTTTATTTTATTGTTCATTTACGTGCACCCTCCGTCTCTCTGTAACCTTTTGTATTGGCCCTGATTTCTGACCCGGCGGTCACTTATTAAGCTCTAGAAACCACCATGAACTGTGGCTACTTGGCTAATTAACGTTTATTAAATACGTATTCCCTTGCCCTGGCCCCACCTGATGAATATCTAGTTTCTATGGAATTTAATGCCCTCGCCTCGCTCAATTTAGAGCAGAATTGGCTGAAATGGAAGCCTTGCAGCAAGTGTAATGTAGCAGCAGCTCTGTTGCCAAGCGCAGTTAGTCTGCCATTTAGCCCCACGCTCAGCAGCGGGCTTAGGGCAGCTAGATAGAGTGTGGCGCATAATTTATCAAAGACATTTGAGCCAGGCGCTATAACTAGACCCGGTCTCAGCGCCTGCCCCAGACCGAGACCGAGACCGACACTTCCTAAATGATTTCATTGTCGAAAATAGTTGTTTTTTTTTCTCTCTTTTTGGGCTGTTCTACTCATTTTGGTTTTGTTACAGTACAAGCAACAGTGGGGTACACGTAAAATGAGCGCCTCAGTGGGCTGGGCTGTGCCCTGCGGCCTCTGCGTGTCCTGGCAACGGAGTCTAGTAGGCGGCAGCCCCGCCCACTTTCAACCCCACCCGCTGCGCCCACTTTCAGGCTTTAGTCAAGTGAATTGGGGCAATTAGTGGCAGCAATTTTCTGTTTGCTTAAAGTTTCGCCTTGCCTTGTCTCTGCCTGAAAATGAATTTCCCATTGTTTGCCCGCCATCAGTGCGTAGCTCCAAAAACAAACTAGAAGTACATATCTCTGTCTCTTCAGCTAGTTTATGTGCCGGGAAATATCTTTATGGCGCAGCGGCCATAAATTGCCGCATGTTGCTCAATATTTATTACAAGATTTGCATCGCGAGCTACAATGCCAAAGCTAATTTAATTTCGCCTTGATTATCGTGCAATTTGTTTAATTATTTTGCTGATTGTACTCCATTCCTTGAGTATAAATCAACTGTCGTTCCAAATATTGTCTTAAGTGATATATTTCAAGTAGATTGATTGACTTAATGTATGCCTTAAGGCAGGTTAAGAACTCCCACCTCAAACGTCTTTCGTACCTTCATTCGAAACAATCCACTTCACTTGCGAAATTATTCATCAGATTCACGTAAAAAAACATCCATTAAGTAATACAACATGAAGCAAATTATAAATGATTTAAATTAAATAGAGAAGTCTAGTTGGTTGGGGATGTCCGGAAACGGCTGATTATGATATGAATATATAGAAGCCAAAGTTCAACGTTTTCTATGTATTTCAATGGGGGAAAGTATTCCCACAGGACCATATTCGACTGACCTATCGGGCAGCCTTATATCTTTTAAGAGAGCTGCCAGCTCGCTTATTAACATACCGCGTTGGAAGCTTCAATCTAAGCAGATTTCTGTATTTTTTGACTGAAACGGGCACAATACGCTGTACAGACTCAAGGCGACCATATTCAGAAAGTGATCTCAACAAATCTACTTGAACTAATCAACTTAATATTATAGTTGACATAAAAATAAACATTTCTTAGTTAAAAAAAAAATAATAATAAAATAAAATAAAATACAAAAATAAATTCCAGATTTATATAGATAGTTTGCAAGAATTCCAATATAAGTTTCTATGGTAGTAGATAGGCTAGTATAGTAGGCTATCTGTATAATGTATGTAATCGACTTAGATTTAATGGCAAACCAATCATTATCTCGAGAGGCATTGCTCAAGTCTCTAACTATCAAGATATCAAAAGTTTAAATATAAACACAATCTTTCATTAGTTTATCTATATTTTGCTTAGTCAGATTTTGTTTCATTTAAAGTAACCATCAGCCAGCAGAAGTCAGTCTCGAGTCTCTCTGCTCTGAGATCAACATAGATGAGCAAACAGGTTGACAGTTCCAGTTTGATTTGAGAACTAATTATTATAACTTCACGTTATTCAACATTTAACTAAGAAAACTTTTGTTGAATGTCCATGTCTGCTTGGATTGGTACAAATATTATATATGTTCCATATTTGATGTTCACTGATGTCACGTATTCAGCTTCAAGGGATGCCATATGCAATGCCTTCCGTTGCATTCTCAACTTTCAAAGCAGTGTTATGCTTCTAACTTTCAGATTTGATCCTTCAGGAAAAAATTCTTTAAAAAAAAAAAAAAAAAATTCTTCAGCTTTTTGGACCGTAAAAATGGACAGGTAAGTGAAAACTTTTAGATTTGCTGCGTAAGTTTGCAACTCTGTGGCTAATTTGATTAGAGTCAAGTGAAAATTGAAAATTGGAAAACGTGTTGCAAGTCTTAACAAGTTTCCCGTTGTGAGAGGCCAGCAGACTGCATTTGTCAGCCATATATGCTATGTTGCTTGAGCCCTTGACACATGAACATGGATGCCCTTGACACAGCACACACACACACACACGCACACACATGAAGCCAGACAGCCTAATTGAAATACGGCCTTTAATTTCCTGCTGGTTTCTTGAGAGAGCAATTTGACAGTTTCTGCCGAATGCCTGCTGGGAGCAGCCTGGGCGGCCATGAGTGAAGAAGCCGCCGGATGTGCTTTTCACAAAATTTGATTGCAGCTTGTTGCTGGCAGCCACAAATCAAAATTACTTGATTCGCCAGCATTGATTCAGCTGGCAGAACAGTGGCTCCTCTGAGCCAATTATTTATGGTCCACCACATGGCCAACAGTTTGCATACAATTAAAGCCAGCTGGCAGCAGCTTCAACTGAAAGTCAGAAGAAATTTCGCCTCCATTGCTCAGGGACTTACCAGCAGTGCAAAGGCGCATGTCCTCGTCGTAGCCATCGGAGCAATCGGGTGCACCATCGCATAAATATTGTATGGAAATGCAATTACCATCGCCGGGGCACTTAAAAGGCTCGTACGGATGGCAGGCATCTGCAAGAAAAAGACCAGAGGGAAAACAACCATGAAAAACGTCTTTAAATGTAACTCGGATAAAAAGGAAATAGCAATAATAATAAATGTCAAAAAAGGTTTGGAATAATAAGTCGAAATCATTTCTATAAATATAAATTGTTAAGGGAGAACCTGGTGAGTAATACAAATTTATATCATATAAATTTCGTATATTAATTAACTGAAAATCTAACGAATTCCAACAAAAGTAAACAGAATGCTCTAATATATATATTATTAATAAATATTACTCTTGTTTTAACCCAAGCAACGTTTGGATGCATAAATTTGAATAGCGAAAGCAATTTAAAAGTGTTGAAGAGAGTAAGCTATGAGAAAAAGAACAAAGCAAAGAAGAGCACAGAGGTAAAGAAAAATAAAGGTAACAGCAAAGTTTATAAAATAACCAAAGCTAAAAGAGCGAAAATGAACGAAGTAAAAAAAGTGTTTTTTATTCGTTCATATCTCTGTACGTATATAAACAAAACTGTACTTATAAGAAGAATTTAATTTATAGTTATACTGAAAAGTTGTTAAGCTGCAATTTAAATAGAAAACTGTCAAGTGCCAGGCAGATACCAAACTCTTGCAGCAGAAACAAACAAAAAGTTTAGCTTAGAGCATTTTACTAAAGTTTCACAACTTTTCGCTTCGTTTCTCTATTTTTTATATATATA